TTTCTTGACCTCCTTTATGTCTACCATTCTAAATTCTTTAATGATACCAACCGTAATGACAGAGAATGTGAAATTCCTGTTGCTGCTCATCAAGGGGCTCCTCAAGACTTCCACAATGCAAATGCTTTGGATGATAATATAGGTATGTGGAGAGGTGAGGAATGGATCTGACAATATATTTAGAATCACTGTCTTTTCATTTGTCTGCCAATTAATCTATAAACTTCTTTCCTTGTGTTTCTTTTCATTGTCTTTGCTAGCCAAGTCAAGCTGTAAGGCTGCTGCAGTTCAGGCGGACCTACATACTAGTCTTGATCTTTCTAAGAAGTTGCAGGGCATCTGGACCCCTCCAAGTGACAACTTTGGACGAAGTATGATGTCAAAGTTGTTTGTAGATTGTCCATCAGATTTTAATGCTCTTTTTGGGTTCATGAGTGGATTCATGAATTCGTCTTGCAAGATGGTGTCCTGCCTGGCAGTTGAGGGCTCTTCTGATGCTTCAAAAGTATCTAGTCTTTACTCTGTTGTGACAAAGGTAAGGTAGAGGGTTAAATTTCTGCTGTAGAATAAGAAAGGTCCATCTGAGGATTCCTACTTTATTTTAATTTAGATAGAATAATAAATGTATTTTTTCTGTACCTGAATGGTAGTTTGGCCCAGGAAAGAGTTGGAATAAGAGGGATCTGAAGTGCCATACAAAGGCATGATTCCTGATGTGATATATATTTGTTATTTTTGTCTTATATGATGTTTAAGTGATTTGATTTATTTAGCATCAAGTTGTTTTAACAATTGTTACCACTTGTCACTATAGCTCAAGTTGCCTTATTTAGCAAATGATTGCAGGTGCACTGTTGTTGAGATTCTGTATAGACATTGTGATAATTTTTATCATCAAATGAAGATATCATTCTGTTCTCAAATTTAATTACATGTCCATTGATTCCTTTCTCACATTGTGAAACTCCAAATTATGATTCAACATGTTGACCTATTGTCAATATCTATTCCTAAAATTATCCCATTTTGCTTGATTTGTCTTTCTTGCAGATCAGCAATGGAATGATGCCCTTAGAGACTTTATTTGAACCATTGTTTGATCTTTGCGGGGTGGAAAATGTGAGTTGCAAAGTTTTCTTTTCCTTGAGGGTATGTTTGCTTTGAGGGAAACAGAGGGGAAGGAGGGATTTTTTCACCAATCAGATTGCATTATTTGTCAACATTATAATTTGATCGGTTAAAAAAATGTCCCTCCCCTCCCTTCCATTTCCCTCAAACCAAACATACTCTGAGTTTGTATAAAAGGTTTATCTCACGGTTTTACTGCTTTAGTATATATTAGGTTACTGGTTGCATTGTTTTTCTCATCCATTTGCATTTTGAAAATCTTTTTGTTACAGGATGTTATTGCTTATAAATCTCTCCATTTACTCCATGTCCTGTTGAAGCACCTCTTAACTTTTGAAAGGAAATCCGAAGGAAGGTATAGCTTGCACTTGCTCATATATTCTTTCTGATAATGTTCTTGAAGGTTCATCATGCACCCCAGTTGAAACACAAGTTGTACATGCACCTGAATTTAATATATTTGATGTTTTGCTTTCTGAAAGTCAACTGTATGAATGGTTTTCTTTTTCAGCTGTTGTCATAAATTTTTTGTAAATAACTCAGTATGGCACACACTTGGTTGCTAGTTACCCATGTGAAGGAAGTTATTTGTTATGGGATGTTATGAGTTCCTTCTATTACGGTATTACCTAGTACTTTGTAAATTTAATTTTTTTTCCCTTTTTGTTTTTCTGATGCTCCATTTTATGGGGA